CCTCCAGAGAAACCTGGCCTCTGCAGGAGCACTTCGGGCCCAGGGGCGGGGTTACATGATTTTCCCAGCAGCCCTACCTCTCCCCAGGTGGGCGGGGCCTCGGGAAGCCTGGCGCTGTCTCCCCTCTCGCGCCCCGCCCCCGCACCGCGCGCAGGCGCAGACGAGCGATACGCATTCTACGTAACGGACGGCAGAGGCTACGTGAAGAGTGGGGCGGTGTGAGTGAGCTACCTGCCTGGGCTGTGACCCAGAGGCGTCGCGGCCAGCAAAAGTCTTAGTGACCGGAAGTCGGAGGCCGGACACAGGCAGGGTGCGTGGAGGCGGCGGCCCCAGGAGCCCCGGGCCGGGTTTCAGCCTCGGGTGCAGGTAGGTAGCGGGCCATGACGTGTTAGTTGGTGCGGCCGGGCCAGGCCGAGCGGTGACTAGTTGCGTGGCCTTAGAGCTGACCCGTAAGTCCTGCCACTTGGTGACATGCATCAGGCTCCTCGGCTTCATAGCGCTCCTGAATTGAAAAATAATTAAACCTCTGTTCACCCCTTTTCTGGCGCATTTTCGGTTGAACTTTAGGGAGTTGAAGTTATTTAGTACCTTTCGGAGTTCTCGCTGCAGAGCTTTGAGCAAATGCCAAACAGGACAAAATAAAGAGGAAATTTCCGGTGTGCAGGAGGAAGAATGGAACATAGACACGAAGATAAATGGGTTTTCCGTAGTGGTTTGATAGAAGCAACTACTTCTGTAGTCAACCTTCCCTTGTTTTTAGCCAAAACTTGTAAAGAGCAGTGTCTACATCATTTCTAGATAAGTCGTTATTTTGATAAATGTCATATAAAGACCTAATCTAAAACAAGTAATGGTTGTTGCACTTACTCCTCTTTTCGTTTTTAAATCTGGAGTCAGTGACTACTGAGTGAGCTTGCTGAAGATCTAATCTAGTCTAACTAGACATGTTAGTGCTTGTGCCTGGCCTGGATTCTGTATTTTTTGCTTCAAACACTCCAGATGTTGGGCAACCTGGCAAGGCATTGTGCATTTGAGAAATGGGTTGACAGGTGCAGTGGAGTCTTCATAGACAGAAAGCCAGTGCACAAATGGCTTGGTTAATTTTAACCATGAAGGAGCCTGGTTACAGTGCTGAATTACGTTAGAGATACTTCTGTGTTGCGAACATTCCAAGTATAAATTCAGTTTGAAATGACCAGACCTTTTAGGAATTCATTAGTCATATATGACAAGGATACTGAGGGTCAGGAAGGCACCATGGTTTTGAGATGAAAAAGAAGAGTAGATCAAGGGTGCCAAGTATTCGATGTAGTAAAACACTGGCCCCTCATGATCTTCGTAACCAGCCAGGAGGAGGTTCAGGTGATACGGAGTCCAGCGCCAAAAGGCAGCTGGGTTTTGACTGTGAAATTAGCTGCTGCTGTACAGGCCAGTTCGTGTCCATTCAGCATGTTATAAGCTGCATTTTGTCTGTATGTATATTTCTGTATCTATTCTGCAAACTATTGCCTCTTGTCTTTCTAAAACATAGGACTAACTATTATTTTCACTCATCTTAAACATCTTATCATTGTAGTCGTTCATCTGGATGATATTGCTGGTGACTACCCAGCTCAAATGACTGGACATATAGTTGGGGCTATGGATGCCAAACAAGTGCTCCGAGGGAAGTGGGAGCAGGGGGCTGCCAGCAGATTTGAAGGTCACAGAGAGTGCCGGGTTTTTTTTAAATGGTCTCTCTATGTAACCCTGGCTGGCCTCAAACTCACAGAGATTTGCCTGCCTCAACCTCCCAAACTCTGGGATTAAAGGCGAGTGCTGCTCCTTAGTTGTGTGCCACCAAGCCCAGCTTGCATGCTGCTGCTACTTTTAAAGAAATGTTCATAAGGCACAGCAGAAGGGAGAGGAACTATTTTTTGTGTGCCTTTTGTGTGATGGGTATTGCAGGAAATATGGGCCCAGTTCTTTTTCTATGTTTTTATTTTCTCTTTTGGGGACTACTTGTTTTTTCTTTGTTTTTTTTGTCTTTTGTCTTTTTGAGACAGTGTCTTCCTGTAACCCCTGCTGACCCAGCACTCCCTATGTAGACCAGACTGGCCTTGATCCAACAGGATCTGCCTGCCTCTGCCTCCCAAGTGCTGGAATCAAAGGCCTCTGGGATCAGAGGCATGCAGGCTTGGGCCCACTTCTTAGCAGTTAGCTTTTGTTCTCTCTTTCTCCCTTATGTCTCTTAGTATTTCCTGGGTGATGTCCATCCCCACCATCTCTCCAGCTCAAGCCTGTATTCTAAACTAGTATTTCCAGCTATGTTATCTTCTCCCTTTATAAAATAGGTTATAAGCCAGGCGTTGTGGACTCAGGAGGCAGACGCAGGTGGATCTCTGTGAGTTCAAGACTAGCCTGGTCTACATAGCGAGTTCCGGGCCAGCTAGGGCTACAGAGAGACTTTTTCTCAAAAAGACAAAAATAAAACAGGTTATAGCACCTTTTAGGATATGGTGAAAATTAAGAGATGACTCTTAATTCTTTAGCATATTACTTGGAATACCCTAAACTTTTAAAATAGTACTAAATTGAATTTGACTTTCCCCTCATCCCGCCCCCCCCCTTTATTCTTTATCTCAATCAAGGATGACTTTGCCCATCTCTTCATTTAAACAAAACTTGGAGTCACTGCAACTCTCCCTTCCTGTGTTCCCTCTATCTCACTACTTTGTTGGCAAATATAATTCTTAAATATCTGTCAAATCATTTCCTCTTCATTTCTATCACTGCTAGGTAAATAAGTGTCTTCTCTACCTTTAAAAATTGTTATTTTTTTTCTGGGGGGCTGGAGAGTTGGCGCAGCAGTTAAGAGCACTGGTTGTTCTTGCAGAAGACCCGGGATCAAATCCCAGCACCCACACGGCAGCTAACGACTGTCCATAACTCCAGTCCCAGGGGATCCAACAGCCTCTTCTGACCTCTGGGCATTGCACGACACCGGTGCACTTACCTACATGCAGGCAATGCACGCATACACATAAAAATAATAAAATTAAAAAGAAAAAAAATTTACTTTTTTATTATGTATGTGTTTTGCCTGCATGTATGTAAGTGCACCACATGCATGCAGTACCCTGCAGAGGCCAGAAGAGATCATTGGAGTCCCTGGAACTGGAGCTATGGATGGTTGTCAGCCACCATGTGGATGGTGGGAATCAAACCCAGGTCATATGGAAGCACAGCTAGTGTTCTTAACGGCTTAGCCATTTCTTCAGCCCCCAAGAATTGTTTTGTTTTTGTTTTTTTTCTTTTAATATTGTATTTATTATTTTATGTGTATGTGTGTATTGCCTGTGTATAGGTAAGTGCACCTGTGTCATGCAATGCCCGTGGAGGACAGAAGAGGCTGTCGGATACCCTGGAACTGGATTTACAGACAGTCGTTAGATGCCATGTGGGTGCTGGGGTTCGAACCTGGGTCTTCTGCAAGAACAGTGTTCTTAACCGCTGAGCTATCTCCCCAGTCCCTTATTTTTTAATTCCAAAACTACATCATAAGGAAACTAGAAAAATCTACAGAAAAATAAAGAGAAAACATTCACAGTTCTACCATGGAAACTACGATTTTATGCGTAGTTGTATAGCTTTCTGTTCTAAAGCTTTTTCTTTATTTGCATTTGCTTCTAAAATAACATGGGTTCTAACTTTGTAACTTTTATGAGGCAGAGTCTTAGGAAGCCTCGGTAACATTCTCAACTTCTATTTGTTTATAGTTGGTGTTGGCTTTGAACTCCTGACAGGATCTCATTATGCAGACCTGGTTTACCTAAAACTTGCTGTGTAGACCAGGTTGACCTTGAACTCACAGAGCTCTGCCTGCCTCTGCCTGAGTGTTGAGATTAAAGGCATGAACCGCTATGCCCAACTGTTTCTGGTGTTCTCAAGACAGGATCTCATGAAACCTAGGTTGGCATGGAACTTACTATATAACCTAGGATGACCTTGAACTTCTGATTCTCCTGCCTCAGTTTCCCAACCAAGTATTGGGATTACAAGTGTATACTATCACACCCAATTTTATGTGGTACAGGACCTCTTGCATGCTAGCCAAGCACCGTACCAAGGATTATCCCAGCCCTCTTGTAACATTTTTTATTGCATTTAGTTATTTATTCATTTGGGCTGGTGGCGGGTAGGAGGATGGAGGTGGGCCACTGTAAGTTGTGGAGGTCAGAGGATAAATTGGAAGTTGGTTCTTTCCTTCCACCATGTTTATCCCAGGGATTGAACTCAGGTTATTAGGCTTGGCAGCAAGTGAGTGCCTTTACCCACTGAGCCATCTCACCTGCCTTTTTGTAACACTTTTGAGGTTGGGAGTTTGTTTTTTTTGTTTTGGGGTTTTTTTTTTTTTTTTTTTTTGAAGATAGGGTCTTACTAAGTTGTTCAGAATGACCTTGAACTCATTCTGTAGCTTAAGCACTATTTGAGCTTTCAGTTCTCCCTCATGCTCCTGAGTTGCTTAGATTACAGACCTCACCACAAGGCCTGGTTTACTAATAGATGTTTTTATGCCTTTAATCCCAGAATTTAGGAGGCAGAGGTGGGTGGATCTCTGTGAGATCGAGGCCAGCTTGATCTACATAGAGAGTTTCAAGTTCTAGGCCAGCTGGGACTAAGGGAAACCCTGTCTCAAAAAGACCCTCCCCCTACCAAAAAAAATAATAATTTGTGTGTGTGTGTGTGCGCGTGCGTGTGTATTTTCATAACTAAGATACAGGACTGGTGTTTTGATGAGAGGGCAAGATTGAAAGTACAGTTTAAATTATTTTAATGTTTGAAGGTTTTTTTTGTAAAATGATTAGTGTCCTCCATAATTTCATAAAATATCTTTGTCATAGATAGGAATTCATTATATCTGTTAGTTTGTAAACTTTTTTGGAGGTTGGAGCACTTACTTTTCTTTCCCAAAAGTTATAAAGTGCTAATGTATTGAATTCTGCCAATATATACTGGAAACTAACTGTAAATTACTACTTTAAGTCACAGAAAGCCACAGTCATCAAATTATATTTAAGAAGTTCCCTGAGAAGTGGTTCACAGAATGGAATGGATTCCAAAATCAAAACTCTAGGATTAACCCCCAGACTTCCATATTACTTAGTAACTGTACTACTCAGCATCTCCAGGCCTCATTTTCTTTCTGTATTTATGTGTTCAACCTTGTGATGGTAATAGTGGTGTTTGTCCTGGACAACATGCCTCCAGGGCAAACACACATACATAATTAAACTACAGGTGAATGGGATTGTAAATTTTATGTGTGTATGTATGTTCCTGAGGATATGTATGTGTACTCTCTTGAGTGCAGGTGCCCATGGAGGCCGGAAGAAGGCATCTGGTCTGGAACTGGAGTTGCAGGCAGTTGTAAGTTGCTGGATGTGGGTGCTGGGATCTGAACCCAGGTTCTCAGCAAGAGTAGCAAGTGCCTTTAACCATTGAGCCATCTCTCCAGGCTTCCTCCACCCTATGTTTGTGAGAGTCTTTTTGTGGTTTTAGTTTTTTGTTTATTTGTTTGTTTGACAGGGTCTCCCTAGCCACCTGAACTTACTGTGTGGAGACCAGGCTTTCCTTGATCTTGCAGAGATCTGCCTGCCTCTGCCTTCCAAGATGAAAAAGACTTACTTGTAAATAGCTGTATTTTTTATTTTTATTTTTTCGGAGACAAGGTCTTACTATTTCAGGCTGGCTTGGAATTTGAAGAGCTTAAAGGCATACAGCACCACACCCACTTAATAGTTGGATCTTATTACTTCATTATACCCCTTATTTCCTTTAGAAAGGTTTTCATAGACTCAAAAAATTTAAAAAAAAAATGCTCATTTGAAAGAAGCAGCAGCAGGGCCTGGAGAGATGGCTCAGCAGTTAAAAGGTCTGGCTGCTCTTGTAGAAGACTTGGATTTGATTCTCAGCACCCATGTGTCGGCTAACAACTGTCTGTAACACCAGTTGCAGGGGATCCAATGTTCTCTCTGACCTCCTCGGGCATTGCACAACATGGGTACATTTACATACATGCAGGAAATACACTCATACACATAAAATTAAAACAATAAAATATTTTTTAACGTTTTGGTTGTTAGCCTTTAATTGGCTGCGCTATCCCTCCAGCCCTAAATTTTTTTCTTAATATTTTATTTTTATTATTTTTATTTTATGTGTATGCGTGTATTGCCTGCATGTAGGTAAGTGCACCCATGTCATGCAATGCCCAGGGAGGACAGAAGAGGCTGTCGGATCCCCTGGAACTGGAGTTACGGACAGTTGTCAGCTGCCATGTGGGTGCTGGGGTTCAATCCTGGGTCTTCTGCAAGAAGAGCCAATGTTCTTAACTGCTGAGCCATCTCTCCAGCCCCACAATTCTGTATGTTAACCATAATTTTGAACCCGGGTCTTCTGCAAGAACAACCAGTGCTCTTAACCATGGAGCCATCTCTCCAGCCCATGATATTTTTTAAAAGAAAGCAGCAGCAGCTACTTATGAGATGTATAACACAGACAGAGGATTCTAGAGAGTCCAACCTAAAGAAATGTAAAAACTTGTCTAAAATTTTATGCATAACTGATGACAGGATCTGAACTAGACCCCAAGCCCCTTGGACTCACTCACTTCACCTTTTTTATATAGTGCTATTTGAATCCACTAGTATTGACGAAGAAAAGTGGGAGGGATATGTGAGATGTTTTGTTTCTTCAGACAGGATCAGGTCAGTATGTAGCCGAGGCTAGCCTTAAATTCCTGGTCTTTCTTCCACCTCCTAAGTACTGTGATGACTGGTATATACCACCACACATAGCTGGTTTATGGATTTTTAACTATTTGCAAAATATGTTCATCTGTGTGAATGGTGGTTCACGCTAAGCCTGCCCCATCTCTCTTTCAGCTTGTTTTTGAGGTGCAATGAAAGCCTTCTGTGCTTTCTGTGTTGTCCTTGTGGTGTTCAGTAGTCTCTCTGAAGCCAAGTTTGATGACTTTGAGGATGAGGAAGACCTAGTAGAGTATGATGATAATGACTTCGCAGAGTTTGAAGATGTCATGGAAGATTCTGTGACCGAATCTCCCCAGCGGGTGATAACCACTGAAGACGATGAAGATGAGACCACCGTGGAGCTGGAAGGACAGGATGAGAATCAGGAAGGAGATTTTGAAGACACAGACACACAGGTAGGGTCCTTAGTATTGATTTCTTAGGAAATTCAAAGAATGGGAAAATTTGTAATTAGTGCTTTTCTCAAACATTAAAAAATCCAAACATAAAAAGAATTTTACTCTCTTGAATCCTTATTTTGTGTAGAGCATTTCTAAATGACTTGTGATATGTTCCCATCTTTTAAATTGTGATTTTTCTCCTGTAGTAATTCTACTGAGAGGAACTGGAAAGTGGGTGAGAATTGTGTTTTTTAGAATTTGGGGTTCAAAAGTATGAGGCGTCATCTTGGTTTTTCAGATTTTTGCCTCAGTTTTGAAGTTTGTAACAAATTTAATGATATATTTAAATTGTATAACGTGGTCATTTTGTTTGTTTTTGAGACACAGTTTTGCTGTTGGCCTGGAACTCACTGTGTGGCCCATGTTGGCCTTCAGTCAACATGTGTTTTTATTTGTGTTTCTTTTCACTATGTGTTTTAATATGCATGTACATTAAAGAAGTAATTTAACATAATTAAGGTAATTAATATAATCCTCACCCAAATACTTTCTATTTTTAACATAAGGAGTGATAATATTTAAAGTATATTCTCTTAGCAAATTTCAGTTACAGAGTGCATTAGCTATTATTACCCATGCCATACTGCACATTCATTCTTTGGAACTTATTGTAACTCAAAGTTTGGTAATTTGTTAAAAGCATTTAATATCTGTGTTCTGTGCTTACTGCCGACAAGTTAAGTTTTCCTCCACAGATGTTGCCCACAAAATGAGACACAACTGCTGGTGCCATTTATAGATAACAGTTTTTCATTTTTTTAGGAGGGAGACAGTGAGAGTGAGCCATATGATGATGAAGAATTTGAGGGTTATGATGACAAGCCAGATACTTCTTCTAGCAAAAATAAAGACCCAATAACAATTGTTGATGTAAGTATATGGGATTCCAAATTCCAAACTAAACAACAAAGTATCTGCTGTCACTGATACCAGAAATATAATCAATGTATATGGTGGGTGTTGATAATAGTGCAGATGACAAACTTAACATGAATTCTTCTGATAAGCATCCATACCTAAGAAGCAAGTCCATGTTTTATTCTAGCCTGCCTACTTTTATTTATCAAGAAGCAATAGTGGTGGCTAAGAGATGGCTCAGCAGTTAAGAGCACTGGCTGCTCTTGCAGAGGACCCAGGTTTGATTCCCAGCACCCCACATGGTAACTCACAACCATTCCTAACTCCAGTTCCAGGGACTCTTGACTCCCTCTTCTGGTGTCCACTGGTACTAGGCACACAGGTAGAGGTAGTATACATACATACATGTAGATAAAACCTATCACACATGTGAAATAGAAATATTTTTCTTAAAGGGAACGAAAAAAGGAATAGGTGGAGCCAATCGTGGTGGCACACTCAGAAGGCAGGGACAGGTGAATCTCTGAGCTCAAAGCCAGCTGAGGCTACAGGAAGAGCCTGTCTCAAAAAAAAAAAGAGAAGCCGGGCATGGTCGCACACACCTTTAAATCCCAGCAAAACAGGTTGGGAATGTAGCTCAATGGTAGAGTGCTTATCTAGTACATGTGAGGACCAGAGTTCAGCCCCCATTGCCCAAAAAAGACACCTTCAAAAAAGCCAAAGATTTACCAGCTTTTTACCACATTAGATTGTCTTTATATTTTGGGGTTTTTTTGGGGGGTGGGGGTTGAGACAGGATCTCCTGAAGTCCCACCTGGCCTGGAACTCATTATGTAAACTAAGCTAGCTTTGAACTCAAAGAAGTCTGCCTGCCTGTAGTTCCTAAGTGGCTGGGATCAAAGGTGTGTGTTACTGTGCCTGGCCTGCACGCCCCTACCCCCTTTGGTTTATCTTTTTTTTTTTTTTTTTTTTTTTGAGACCAAAAGCTACAGGGCTCCCTGTAGCCCCAGCTGAACTGGAACTCAATATGTAGACCAGGCTGGCCTGGAACTCACAGAGACCTACCTGCCTCTGCCTCCCAAGTGGTAGGATCAAAGATGTGCACCACCACACCTGGCATAGGCATATTTTTTAAAGTGTAACTTTTTTCAGCGACAGTTATATAAAGTACCCATTTCTGTCTGTGACCTTTCTCATTTTTCATCCTATTAATTAGACTCCATTGTTTAGTCTCAGCCAGCATTAAATGGAAATTTTTCATTCTCTAGGTTCCTGCACACCTCCAGAACAGTTGGGAGAGTTATTATCTAGAAATTTTAATGGTGACTGGTCTACTTGCATATATCATGAACTACATCATTGGAAAGAATAAAAACAGCCGCCTTGCTCAGGCCTGGTTTAACTCTCATAGAGAGCTTTTGGAGAGCAATTTTACCTTAGTCGGTAAGTTTAGCCGGTATGAAGCTGGCTGCCTGTTTGAAAACAGTCTGGTAAGAACAGTTCATTCCCCTCAGCATAAACATCATGTGCTTTTGTGGACTGCTGAATAGGATGTATTTGTTTGCTCTATGGATCCCATTTTTGTAGGTTTTCTTTAACAACTAAATTGAATTTATAAACACTCATTTGTTTCATTAATCAACAGTATAATTGCTAAATAACTTTTGATATAGACAGTGTGATACAATGAGAAACTGACATTTTAGGTAGTTTGATAATGATTTCATTTCACTTTTTAGAAATGGGAAGTCCCTTACTATTTCCCTAAGTTCTTAGCACTTTGATTTTAGTTTTGCTGATGAGACATACATGAAACATGTAGAGTAGCTGTGTAGTGTAGGTTGTGAAGTTAGACTCCCCTCCCACTCACCTCCTTACTGCATCTAGCACTTAATTTTTCTTTAATAATAAGACCCATCTGCCTGCTACTGTTTATGCATATTATACTACATACTTTACATTTTTTTCTTTATTTTTTAACTAAAGATATTTGAGGGGGTAGGAACATGTTGACATCAGAGAACAATTTTTGCGAGTCAGTTCTCACCTTCTACCATGTAGATCCTGGGAATGGAAGTCAGGTCAGGGTTGGGGGGCTGGTGCCTTTACCTGCTGAGCCATCCTGTTTGTCCACACATGTCTGTCTATCTGTCTTTCTTTCTTTCTTTCTTTCTTTCTTTCTTTCTTTCTTTCTTTCTTTCTTTCTTTCTTCCTTCCTCTCTTTTCTTTCCTTCTCTCTCTCTCCTTTTCTTTCCTACTTTCTTTTCTTTCTTTCATCTTTTCACTCTTTCAAGACCAGGTCTCACTGTAGCCCCAGTTGTCTTGCATCTCAATATGTAGACCAGGCTGGCTTCAGTCTCACAGGTCTCCCAAGCACTGGGATTAAATATGTAGACCAGGCTGGCTTCAGCCCCCCAAGCACTGGGATTAAATGTGTGTACCACCATGCCTTGCTCATATGTATTTGTTTTCCTTTAAAATTTTTTTATTTTATTTTATGTGTGAGTGTACAGCCTGCATATGTGTAAGTATACCCATGTTGTGCAATGCCTACGGAAGTCAGAAGATGGTGTTGGATCTCCTGGAACTGGAGGATGGTTTTTAGCTGCCATATGCATGCTGAGAATTGAACTTGGGTCCTCTGTAAGAGCAGCTAGTGCTCTTCAGCCATCTCTCCAGCCCACATGTTTCTTAATCACTCTTTGAACAGCACTATCAATTGGAAATAGTTTCTGTTTTCATAAGAGGGAAACTGAAGTTAAAGCTTATCTAAGGGATTAAATTGCTACCCATGTCCCAAATCTGTGCTTCTTCCCTGTACCATAGTTTTTCAGAGTACATTTTGATCGCAGAATTAATAAAAAAAAGAATTACTGGCTCATTGCCTGCCCTCTTCTTCATTTTCACATGGTGCCAGAGTCCATAATTTTTTATGGCGACAATAAAAAGCCTTAGAAGTAAAAAGAAGCCACACCTGCACTAGCCTGTGTGGCCACCCTCAGCACCCCAGCACACTTGGCCCAGATGGCAAGGAGCCTGCCTGTGCCCTTGATAGCATAACCTTGGTGTCTGCTGTGCATTGGTAGCTGGTTGCAGGCACCCTTCTCTGTGCTTTCTGCATTGTTCCCAGAGACATGTAATGGATAACATAACAGTGGACATCAGTCATTTTGGACAGGAATCTTTGGAAGATGTTAGCCTCCCTGAAGTTGGTATAAAATTGAAATACAATACAACGTTGGTGCTTTGTAAAGTGTGAAAGCTGCTCTTGGACTGTATTCTCTATTACAAGTAACTAATAATGAAGCTCTTGCAGAAAATTCAGGCCTTACATGCAAATCTTGTTATGAAGACGATTGACTGATAGATGACACCTAGTAATCCTCAAGACTAGAGGAATTACTTAGTCCAGAAGCAGATGATAAATATATGCATCAAATCTATTGAGGAATGAAACTCCTAAAACAGTAATAATGAAGTAAAAGGAACAATGTCAATCTTTTAATCCCTTCCGGAGGAGACTCTGCAAGATAGCAAAGTCTTATCTCACTAGCCTAAAGCGATCCCAATTTTTTTTTAATTTTTTTTTTATTTTATTTTATGTGTTTGCATGTATTGCCTGCATGTTGGTAAGTGCACCCGTGTCATGCAATGCCTGTGGGGGTCAGAAGAGGCTGTCGGATCCCCTGGGACTAGAGTTACAGACAGTTGTTAGCTGCCATTGGGTGCTGGGATTCAAACCCGGGTCTTCTGCAAAAACAACCAGTGTTCTTAACCGCTGAGCCATCTCTCCAGCCCCAGCAATCCCAAATTTTAGTGAGTCAGAGTAAGTGCTTTTACTCCTAGGGGATGATGGAACTAACAAAGAAGCCACAAGCACAGGAAAACTGAACCAGGAGAATGAGCACATCTATAACCTGTGGTGTTCTGGTCGAGTATGCTGTGAGGGCATGCTTATCCAGCTCAGGGTAAGTAGAGAACTGTCCAGTGTATGCCTTTTTTTTTTTCCCAGCTGGCCTGGAACTTATTATGTAGGCCAAGCTGGGCCTTGATCTCATAGAGATCTGCTGCCTTTGCCTCTGCTTCCAGGATGCTGGGATTAAAAGCACCTGGCTCCTTAATTGTATTTTTTGGGGGGCGGGGGTCTTTTTTGAGACAGGGTCTTCTGGTAGCCCCAGCTGGCCTGGAACTTGCTATGTAGACCAGGCTGGCTCCTGAACTCACAAAGATTCTCCTGCCTCTGCCTCCTGAGTGCTGGAATTAAAGGTGTGCATCACCATGCCCAGCTTAATTGTTTTTAAGATGTAATTCCTAATCTAAATTTAGTGCCTCATTCCTCCATGTTTGATTTAAAATAAGATCTGGATATTATATTTCTGTTGATTAGCAAATATACTGTTCCAAATATTTGATGAAGCATGTAATTTCCCCTTTATAATAAGTAGAAGCTGCAACTGTGTTAACACACTTCTCTAATTTTTCAGTTTCTTAAGAGACAAGACTTACTTAATGTCCTGGCCCGGATGATGAGGCCAGTGAGTGATCAAGTGGTATGTATTCTTGCTGATTTTCTTTGTATGGACATAATTATTTTCTTAGTTTATTCCATTTATGCCTGGATTGTTTGTGTTTGGAATTTCTGGCACCTTGTGTCCATGCCAGAGAGAAGATTATTTTTAAATTTTTTTGTTTGTTTTTTTTGTTTTTTGAGACAGGGTATCCGTGTAGCTCCAGCTAGCCTGGAACTCACTGTGTGGACCAGGCTGGCTTTCAAATCACAGAGATCCACCTGCCTCTGTCTCCCAAGTACTAGGATTAAAGGCCTGCCCTGCCACTTCCGGCTTACCTCTTCTATCTAGGCAGATCATCTTCCTCTACTCAGTGTGCCACTCACTGTCAAAAGGCCTCCATGTGCTTTTTGCCAGGAAGGAGATAAGACTCTGACCACCTGTCAGCTCAGTTAGCCTTGGTAGAGAAACAGTTGTCAGAATAGCTTTTCCTTGTATCCAGGTCTCCTTGTGAATACCTTTTATTTTTTTAAATATTTGTGTGTGGGCCCATGCGTGATGTAGCTTGTGTATATATGTCAGAGATCAATTTTCAGGAGTCTTCTCTCCTTCCACCCTAGGCTCTGGGGATTGAACTCAGGTTGTGAGGCTTATGTGGCAAGCGCTTTTACCCATTGAGCCATCTTGCCTACACTGTCAATACTTCCATCTATGGCAAAGCACTGCATTTCTTCTCAAAGTTTTATTTGTTATTTGGTTTGTTTTTGTTGTTGTTATTTTGGGGTTTTTTGTCTTTTTTTGAGACAGGATCTTCTTATAGCCCCAAGCTGTCCTGGAACTCACTATGTAGACCAGTCTGGCCTCGAACTCACGAAGATCTGCCTGCTTCTGCCTCCCTGCTTCTGCCTCCCAAGTGCTGGGATTAAAGGTGTCCACCACCACCCCTGGCCCTTTTTTTTTTTTTTTTTAATTTTTTTTTTTTTTTTTAATTTTTTTTTTTTTTTTTAATTTTTTTTTTTTTTTTTAATTTTTTTTTTTTTTTTTAATTTTTTTTTTTTTTTTTAATTTTTTTTTTTTTTTTTAATTTTTTTTTTTTTTTTTAATTTTTTTTTTTTTTTTGGTCTTTTTGAGACAGGGTCTTCCTGTAGCTCCAGCTGTCCTTGAAGTCACTATGTGGACCAGGCTGGCCTTGAACTCACAGAGGTCCCCCTGCCTCTACCTACCTAGTGCTGAGATCAAAGATGTGCACCACCACGCCAGGCCTGGAACTTTGTTTTTTTAACTGCAAATGATTGTGATTGAAAATCACAACCTAGATTGTTGGGTGTATGTTTTTGTACTTAGTGAATTTACATATTAATCAGTAAATTGTGTCCTTTGTTAAAAATGTTCTAAAGAAATGCCCTCAACAAACACATTTTTTACATTTATTGGCCATTTTTTTTGTTCCCGTATTCTGTAAAAAGATGTTACTTTTGTAATTTCCTGTGAATATGAAAGAACAGAAATATTTTTTACTTATGTAATAATAACATCTATTTTTTTTATATAGATGCCATTTGCCAGGTCTTTCCCTGCATTAGTGTTTCCCTTCTTCCAAATACTAATAATTATTTGGCCCAAACATCTAAAGATGTGATTAATATGACAAATAGGGCTATGTTTTCTCATATCAGACTTTTTAGGTTTGTAATTTTATCTGTTCTTATGCTTAATATTATTTGTGTAAGGATGTTTTCCAACAATGGTTGGTTCTTGGATTCTCTAGACACCAAATTGGGATCCAGCAATTTAGTTTAGTTCAGTTCTAAAATTGCCTAATAATTAGCTTCAGATGCCAAGTTTGAAGGGCTCAGTTCCCCAGTCTTCTCATGCTTCAGAGGAAGTTGCAAATCCCAGACCACCCATACTACTACAATATGCTTCCGACTGATCACATATGAATGGGGAGTTCCCATCACCTCCCTCCAGGTTTGATAATTTACTAGCATGACTCGACAGAATTCAGGGAAACAGAGGCAAGTGGAACTCTGTAAAGTGGAGGCCAGGCTGGTCTACATAGCTAGTTCCAGGCCAGCCAGAGATACATGGTGAGACCCTATCTCGAAAGAAAAAGAAACAGGAAGAAGAGGTGTGTGTGTAACTCCTTTATTGTCTCTAAGCCAGCTGTCCTCCTAGTCAGATGATGAGTTCACAAATTTGGAAGCTTTCTGAATGTTGTGCAAGGGTTTTTGTAGCACTTAAGCTTCCTTCTCTTCGCTAGAGGTCCTTGAGTAGGGTTGAAAATTCCTGTTTGCATTTTTTGGTGATCAGCCTTATTTCTGAAGCCATGGTAGAGGCCTTAAGTTACTACATTAGCATAAACTTAGGTTGTCTGAAAGGGGTTCCTGAGAAATAACAAAGCATGCTAAAGGTTTTTAGAGTTCTGGGCCAGGAACCTGAGACAAAAAAACAAATGTTGAAGCTGGAGGGGTGGATCAGCGATCAAGTTCACCTGCTGTTCTTCTAGAGGACACAAGTTCAGTGCCCAGTATCCACATCGGGTGGCTTAGAAACATCCTGTAATTCAAGCTCCAAGGAATCCAATGCCTTCTTCTGGCCTCCACAGGCACCCACACATGAGTGGTGTTTCCTCACATAGATACAAACGCATAAATAAAAGCCACCACACCTGGCTTAAAAATAAATCTTTCTTTTTTTTTTTTTTGGTCTTTTTGAGACGGTCTCCCTGTAGCCCCAGCTGTCCTGGAACTCACTATGTAGACCAGGCTGGCCTTGAACTCAGAGATCCGCCTGCTCTGCCTCAGAGTGCTGGCATTAAAGGGGTGCACCACCACGCTCAGCAAGAAAAACATTTTTAAGAAAGATTTACTTTTGGCTGGGCATGGTGGCACACGCCTTTAATCCCAGCACTCCAGAGGCAGAGCAGGTGGATCTCTGAGTTCAAGGCCAGCCTGGTCTACATAGTGAGTTCCAGGACAGCTGGGGCTACAGGGAGACCCTGTCTCAAAAAGACGAAAAAAAAAAAAAAATTTATTTCTTGTAGTACACCAGCCAATTTGGATCTTGTTTATTGTTGAGTTTTGCACTTTAGTACTCCTGTACGAACCTGTTGGAGGTGTTTTCTTTATGAGCAGTTCAGAACAGTACCATTCGTTATCTTACAGTATCAGCCAGGTACAGGTTTAGCTGGGTCGTCTTAGGGTCTAAGAGGCTGATGGAAACAAAGTGCCAGCCAGGGTCCTATTTCCTTCTTCACAGAATCATTCAGGTTTTTATTAGAATTCCCCTTCTAGTGGTTATGGATACCCATTTTCTTGCTAGCTATCAACTAGGAATTACCCTCGGGCCCTGACAGTTACTCTCAGGTCCTTATCTCTGTGCACCCCCACCTCTCTAAGCAATATCACTCCAAAGATTCCCTTCAGGTAGGACTCAGCCCCTTTTAAGAACTTGGTAGAGCTGAGTGTGGTGGCACACTCCTTTATTCCCAGCAGAGGCAGGCAGATCTCTGAGATGACAGCCTGGTCTACATATTAAGTTGTGGGCCACCCAGGGCTACAGGGAAACCCTGTCTTGGAAAAAAAAAGGAAAGGACTTTATGTGGTACACCAGAGACAGTGCCCCTTTTTGTTCATTCAAATCAGCTAATTAGGGACCTTCCACCTTGTAACAATATACCATCATCTCCACGAATGGTACTCAAAGAGAGGATATATATTGCAGAAAGCTGAACTCTTAGGGGCCATTTATAAATCTACCTTCCACAGAACCCAACAAGTAAGTTTTGTAATTTTTTTTTCTTTTTAAAGCAAATAAAAGTAACTATGAATGATGAAGACATGGATACATATGTGTTTGCTGTTGGCACACGGAAAGCTTTGGTGAGGCTGCAGAAAGAAATGCAGGATCTGGTATGTCAAGTTGCTCTAATTTAAATATATGTAGAAACACCCTCTCTGTTACATAGATATTCAACTTCATAGCACAGAACAATTCTGTCACTCAGATGTTGTCAGGCACCACTTTGAAATAGGAAGGTATGTACATAACCTTCAGAAAAAAACCTAAATAGTGAACTGTCATGTTCAGCTCTTGGGAGGCAGAGGCAGGCAAATCTCTGTGAGACTGAGGCCAGTCTGGTCAACCTAGCAAGTTCCATGTGGGGCTACAGGGAGGCCTTGTCCCAAAAAACCAATAAATTATTGAAATAAAAAAATAAAATAAAATGTCATGTTTTGTTTTCAACTTCTTTTTCTTCTAGAGTGAGTTTTGTAGTGATAAACCTAAGTCTGGAGCAAAGTATGGACTGCCAGACTCTTTGGCCATCCTGTCAGAGATGGGAGAAGTCACAGAGGGAATGATGGATACAAAGGTAAATACTGTAAAAGGCTTACATTTAAGCCATGTGTGGCTTTGCACACCTGTAGTCCCAGCTATGCCAGAGGTTGAGGCAAGAGGATCGTAAGTTCCAGACCAGCCTAGGTAATAGAGACCGTTTCTCTTTTTTTTTTTTCAACACGAACTAAATTTTGTTTCACTTGTTTTAAAACAGCAGGTAAATAATCTGTGACTGTAGGTCATGCATGATAAACATTTTCTCTTGTATTTGGTCATATAACTGATTTTGACCAGCTGGATAAACACAGCAGTTGATTGGTTGGATGGTTGGTTGGCTTTGGTCTTTTTGAGACAAGGTCTCCAGCTGGCCTGAAATTCACTATGTAAATAATAGACCAGGCTGGCCTTGAACTCACAGAGATTTTCCTGCTTCTGCCTCCCAAGTGCTGGGCCTGCCCAAGTTAATTGTAATGATAATAGTAAAAAACATTTCTAAAGACTTCTGCCAGATCTCCAATAGAAAGGGTAGTCTCCTAAAGGTGTACTGTGGAAGTCATTCACTTTATGTCAGTGCAGTAGTTATAGTTATGTACTCCTTTCTCACACAGATATTAGAACACCTCCTTTAAGCAACAGATTAACTTGTCAGAAGGCCAAGAAGTTCTCTTTGGGGACTGGAGAGGTGGCTCAGCAGTTAAGAGCACTTGCTATGCAATCATGAGGACCAGAGTTCGGATCCTAGTCTCTACGTAACAAGCCAGGTGTCTGCAGATGCCTTAAACTCCAGCTTTGTGTGTATGTGTGTGTGTCTGTCTGTCTGTCTGTCTTTCTTTGTGTGTGTGTGTGTGTGTGTGTGTGTACGCACATGCACGTGAGTGCAGCGCTGAAGTTACAGGCTGCTGTGGGGCACCTAACATGGGTGCTGGGAATTGAACTCAGGTCCTCCAAAGAGCAACGGTGCTCTTAACCCACAGAACAATCTCTCCAGCCCCCTTAGCCTATAGTTTTGAGCTTCAGTTGGTGTAAGTAAAGATGGATATACGGGCTAGGCACGGTGGCTCATATCTGTAATTCTAGCATTTGAGAGACTAAGGCAGGATTGCTGTAGAGAACTATTTCTTTGTATTGGTTATGATTACATTGGTTATGATAACATCTTAGTTACCTAGAAACATAAGATAACATAGGGTAGTAGAAATATAAGTTAAAGGTGAGGGCTGAAGAGATAGCTCAGTTGGTAAAGTGCTTGCTGTGCAACCATAAGGACCCGAGTTCAGTCCCCAGAATCATGTTAAAAGCCTGGTATGCCAGTGCATGCTTGCAATCCCCATGCTGGAGAGGTAGAGATAGGCTGATCCTTAAGCTCATTGGCCAGCAAGCCTAGACTAATCAGTGTGTTCCAGACCAGTAAAAAAAGACTGACTCAAAAAATAAAGTGAGCCAGAGGTGACACATGCCTTTAATCCCAGCACTCAGGAGGCGGAAGCAGGTGATCTCTGTGAGTTCAAGGCCAGCTGGGACTAGAGAGAGAGCCTGTTTCGAAAAAAGAAAAAAAAGAAAAAAAAAAGTTAGGTGGGGTTGGAAACGCAGCTCAATGGTAGAGTGCTTGTCTAGTATATGTGAGGATCAGGGTTGAATCCCCACCGCCCCAACTTCCTCTTTCTTTCTTTCTTTCTTTCTTTCTTTCTTTCTTTCTTTCTTTCTTTCTTTCTTTCTTTCTTCTTTCTTTCTTTCTTTATTTATTTATTATTTTTATTGAATTTTTATATGTTTCATATATAAAATCGTCTTTATACCCCCTTCCCCTCCCTTTTATTTTAAAAAATGTATTTTAGTGAGCTGGGCGTGGTGATGCACACCTTTAGTCCCAGCACTCAGGAGGCAGAGGCAGTCAGATCTCTGTGAGTTCAAGGCCAGCCTGGTCTACATAGTGAGTTCCAGGACAGCTGGGACTACAGGGAGACCCTGTCTCAAAAAGACCAAAAATAAATAAGTAAATAAATAAATAAATATAAAGTGAACAACACATTAGGTCATTTTCTGGCCTGTGCACGTTTGCAAGCATACACACACACACACACACACACACACACACACACGCACGCACGCACGCACGCACGCACGCACACACACACACACGCATACACTTAACAGTGAAACATAGCCATCCATCCACACAGAACAGTTCCCTGAGATTATTTTTTTGGTCTGTGCAGAGGTGGAGATTGAACCTAGGACTTAATGCATGCTGCACAAGCACTTAACCACTGAGATATATTCCTAGTGATATTTATACTCTTTAGTTTATAGAGACCAAATCTTGAGAAGTTGCCTAGGCTAGCCTTGAACTCATTTTGTAGCCCAGCCAAGCCTTGAATTAACAGGCTTCAGCCTACCAAGTAGCTGAGGTTACAGGTCTATACTAAACCTAGGTTTTTTAAAAAAAAAAAAAAAAATTATTTGCATGTGTGTGTGTGCATGTGCCACAGCAATTTCTGAGAGTCAGTTCTTTCCTTCCACCGTGTGGGATCAAACTCAGGTCATCAGACTTGGTGGCAAGTGCCTTTACCCACTAAGCCATTGTAGACCAGTCTGGCCTAGAAGTCAGTATGTGAACCTGGCTGTCCTTGAAGCAGTTCTGCCTCATGAGTGCTGAGATTACAGGCATGCACTTCTCTCCCCTGCACCACTCTCAGCTTTTTTTTTTTCCTTTTTGAGATAAGGTCTTGCTTTGTATCCCAGGCTGGCCTCAAACTCACAGTACTTCTGCTTCAGCCTCTCACGTGTTGAGATTACAGCCTTGTCAGGCTTTCATTCTTATTTAGAAGATATATTTTCAGCTGTTCAATAAAAGGTTTTAGGTTCAATCTTTAGCACCACAATAATAGTAATGGTAATAAATAAAAATAAGGGTTAGGGATGTAGCTCAATTGGTAGAGTACTTGCCTAGCATGGATGAATACCTATGTTCAAGGCCCTAGTAGTACTACAGTATACCAGGTGTGGTGACACCTGTAATCCTGACACTCTGGAGGTATCTAGAGGATACTCTCTGTATATATGTTATATATGTGTGTATGAATGAATGCTTTATATATGTTATATATGTGTGTATGAATGAATGAATAAAATAAAGTGTTAGTTTCATTTTATTTTATTGAGAAAGGGCATCCCTGTAGCCCCAGGTGGCCTGGAACTCAATATGTAGACCAGACTGGCCTCGATCTCACAAAGTTCTGCCTGTCTCCATCTCCCAAGTACTGGGATCAAAGGCTTGCACCACCATGCCCAGCCTTATTTTGAGACAGGGTCTCTCTGTAGCTCCAGCTGCCTGGAACTCACAGAGATCTGCCTGCCTCTGCCTCCCAAGTGCTGGGATTAAAGATGTGTACCACCATGCCCGGCTTTATTTTAATTTTTTAATCCAGTGTAGTTGTTCACACCTTTCATCCCAGCCCCAGGGTAGGAGAGAGGCAGGCAAATCTGTGTGACTGCCAGGCTAGCCTGGTGTACATAGTGAGACCCTATCTCAAAAATTAAAATAAGTAAATAGGGGCTGGAGAGATGGCTCAGTGGTTAAGAGCACTAGCTGCTCTTCCAGAGAAACTGTTTAGTTCCCAGCACCTACATGGTAGCTAACAACCATCCATAACTCTTAATTCCAAGGGATCCAACACCCTCCTCTGACCTCTATAGGCATTGCATGCAGGCAGAACACTCATAAAAATTAATAAACCAAAAATAAGTAAGGGGGGAGCTATGGGAGAGTGTGGATGGGGAGGGGTATAAAGATGATTAAGGTGTTATGTATGAAATACATAAAAATTCAATTACCCTTTTTTTTTTTTTTTCGGTCTTTTTGAGACAGGGTCTCCCTGCAGGAACAGCTGGCCTGGATTTGCTATGGAGACCAGGCTGGCCTCAACTCAAAGACATCCATCTGCCTCTGCCTCCGGAGTGCTGGGATTACAGGCATGTGCCACCACGCCCAGCTCTCAATTAAAAATTTTTTTTTAAATAAATAAAACTTAAAAGATTTTAGTTTGACATTTTATAAAAGTAAGGATTTGTCTCCCTGCAGGTACAGCTGGCCTGGATTTGCTATGGAGACCAGGCTGGCCTCAACTCAAAGACATCCATCTGCCTCTGCCTCCGGAGTGCTGGGATTACAGGCATGTGCCACCACGCCCAGCTCTCAATTAAAAATTTTTTTTTAAATAAATAAAACTTAAAAGATTTTAGTTTGACATTTTATAAAAGTAAGGATTTAAGGATGAATATTTTTAATAACTGGGGAATGCATCAAACTCTAGATAATATTCTTTTTTCTTTTTTTCAGATGGTTCACTTCCTTACGCACTATGCTGACAAGATTGAATCCGTTCATTTTTCAGACCAGTTCTCTGGTCCAAAAATTATGCAAGAGTATGTATAAAATAAAAGTATTAAAACTTACTTTCCTTACTAGTATCATGCTGAAACACCACAAGGTGCCCCTGCTATTTATACCCTTAAGGAAAGAGAAAGTGAAGTTGGTAATGCCCTCCAACTATGTGCATCCTGAAAGTCATTGAAACCCAGTAGGAACAAACAAGCCTCCCCAACCCCCACACACACACTTTACCTATGTCTGCATGCTTGCATCACCATCTTAGTAATGGATCAGAAGGAATGGCTAATGCTAAGTGCAACTGCTATACTCTTTACTGTTTTAAGTTTATGGTATTAATCTAGCTCTGATGTTTGACTTCTATTTTATGATAATCTATGTATTTTATAATTTATAGCCTTTTCTAGCTTCGCTTTCTGAATGAATACTAGGTGATTATATCCTTTCCCAGCATATTATCAGATGACCTCAGTGTCTGTAGTTTCTGACTTTGTACTGATATTGTTCAGGTGTACATGTTCAGGACTTGGATATGTCCATTGAATTTTCATCCTGTCCCTGAAAAGCATATCTAAATATACTTTTGGTATAGAACTGGTCTGAACCTGAATGGTTAGTTACAGACTACTCTCATAGGCCTATGGGGTTGAGTACAATTAAAAGCTTTCTTGGAGCCTTGGATTCAATTCCTGACACCAAAACAATAGCAACAACAACAACAAAACCTACTCTGAATTTTAGCTGAATGTCAAGATTGCTCAGGTCTTCATGCTTATAGATGGTATTACATCATCCTTGTTTTGTTTAACTGGCAACCACACTGGGGACAAAGCATTGTAGTGTTCATCAAACCTTTGGAGGGGAAGACAGGGTCCTTGATAGTCATATTTTGCAAAGGGATCTTCAATAACAATGAAATTATAAAAGTGGTCCCTCCAAATCCATGAAGGATTAGTTGTCACATACCCCCCACCATACCCAAATCTCTGGATACTTGAGTCTCGTATAAAATGATGTATTTGTATATAGTTTACATGGCCTTTTCTACACTGTAATCCATCTGTGGATTACTTAAAATACCTGATCCAATGTAAATGCTATTAAGTAGTTATACTGTATGCCTAAACTTTGGTGAATAAGGACTGGGGGTTGGGGGAGGCTCTCACATTCATTACAAATGCAGGGTTTTTTTCCCCCCCAAGTTGACACAGCATATGTAGATAGACCCTGTGGATGTGGCGGGCTGACTATGTACTATAGTGGATTATCTCTAAATTTATTCTGAGTCTTACTAAAAAGTAAGATGCTTTACTATAGGCAGACATGATAGGATTTATAGGAAATAAAATATTCACTAAAATAAACAAGTTATTTTAAATATGGGCCTCCTAGTGAAATACAGTCTCATTTCTGGCTCCCTAGATAAAAGAGGGAGTATATTCTGGCCACTGGTGACATCATGGGAGATGTTCAAAAATAGCATCAAGTGGACTAGATGACTACAGAGCTCCTTGGGCTCTATGATTATAATTGATGTAGACATGCCAGGGTATATACAGTAATGATTCTTGGCAGGCATTTTTCCAGCTGAATAACTTGAGTGGCTTGCATGGATAATGTCTTATTTTCTCACTTAATACTTTTCTTTTATGACAGGGAAGGTCAGCCTTTAAAGCTACCTGACACCAAGAGGACACTACTGTTTACATTTAATGGTAAATATTCTTGGTCCTGTGTGCCTAGCTTCTTAGTTTTCTGTGAGATGTTCCTGAGATTGTTTCTTCCCAAATAATAGCTATAGAACTACATTAACAGCCATTCCTCCTTGTTGATGCCTATGTTTCTTCAGGGAGATAGTCTTTTTAGCAGTAAAAAAAAAAAAAAGGAAGAAAGAAAAACTGCTAACCAGAAGTATTAATGCTGCCATTAACTCAATAGGAAAATGGCTTTGTTTTCCAGTGCCTGGCTCAGGTAACACTTACCCAAAGGATATGGAGGCTTTGCTACCCCTGATGAACATGGTGATTTACTCTATTGATAAAGCCAAAAAGTTCCGACTCAACAGAGAAGTAAGACCCAAAACTTTTATTACAAACTGGAACCCTTTACTTTGTTCTTTTTTTTCCCCAGGGGAAGCAACTGTTAATGATCTCAGTGATTAAGTCTTTGCTAGTTGACTTGAAAGTGCCAAATGGGAGTAGTATTATCAGAGTGCTGAGATTTTCTTCTGTTGGCTAGAAATAGATTTCTTATGAAAGACTTTGTTTCTTGGGGAAAGGGTAAACAAAAAGCAGATAAGAACCGGGCACGAGTGGAAGAGAACTTCTTGAAACTGACACACGTGCAGAGACAGGAAGCTGCACAGTCTCGACGTGAAGAGAAGAAAAGAGCTGAGAAGGAGCGGATCATGAATGAGGAAGATCCTGAGAAACAGCGCAGGCTGGAGGTGAGATAGTTTCCTTATCACCAGAATAAAGCTACCTTTTTAAAAATTGGGGCTGAGCCCAGCTGCCTTTAATCCCAGCACATGAAAGGCAGAGGCAGGTAGATCTCTGTGAGTTTGAGGCCAGCCTGCCAGGCCAGCTGAAGCTACAAGGAGACCCTGTCTCAAAAAAGACCAAAAAAAAAAACAGACTGAGTCAGGCATGGTAGCGCACACCTTTAATCCCAGCACTCATGAGACAGAGGTAGATGGATCTCTCTGTAAGCTCCATGTCAGCCTGGTTTGCATAGCAAGTTCAAGTCTAGCTGGGGCTATGAGACCCTGTTTCAAAAACACCAAAACACGAAAACAAAAAGATTGGGGCTAAGAGGGCTCGGTGGTTAAGAGCCCTGACTCCTGTTGTGGAGGACCCTGTTTCCAGCACCCACATGGCACTTAAGCATCCATAGCTCCAGTTCCAGGGGATCCAGTGCCGCCTTCTGGCCTGTTGCAGGCATTGCATGCATGTGGATCACTTACATACACTGAGGAAAAGCACTTGTGCACATAAAATAAAAATAGCCGGGCATGGTGGCACATAGCTTTAATACCAGCACTTGGGAGGCAGAGGCAGGTAGATCTCTGTGAGTTCAAGGCCAGCCTGGTCTACATAGTGAGTTCCAGGCCAGCTGGGGTACAGGGAGACCCTGTCTCAAAAAGACCCCACAAAATTTAAGTGAGAAAGATCTGAGCATTGGAGAGCATACCTCACAATAAAGGAGAATTGTGCTATGAAATATGAGCTGCTGCTGCTGCTACTACCGCTACTGCTGCACAGGTGCCAGTGAAGTGTCGGAAAACCATAGCCTGCACTGTATCTTATGCTTTCTTGATTTGGTTTGGGTTAGGTAATGGTGGGTGGGTGTTTGTTCGCCTCTGTGTGCACATGTGTGTGAAGGCCATAGGACAATTTCAGGTGTCATTAATGAGTGCTGTCCACGTGTGAGGGGTGGGGAGGGCTTGGAATTGAGCTTAAGACTGCACATTCTAGGCAAGCACTTTGCCACTGAGCTACAATCCAAGCCCCATGTTTTTTGGGGGGCAGAAAGTATGGGGAAGGATCTGTCACTGGCCTGGAATTCACCAAGTAGGCTAAGCTGTCTGGACAGCCAGCTTTGGGAATCTGTCTATTCACACATCCTTGGTGCTGGGATTACAAGCACCTGCCATCATACCCAGCTTTTTACATTGGTTCTAGGGATTGAATTTAGGTCTTCCTGAGCACTTACTGACTGAGCCATCTCTCCAGCTCTTAATACCTGTGTTCATCCTAAAAACTTAGCTGTTTTTATGCTGTCTTTTTTTTTTAATGTTTTATTTTTATTTTATGTGTATGAATGTATTCTCTGCATGTATGTGAGTGCACCCGTGTTGTGCAATGCCTTGGAGGTCAGATGAGGACTTCGGATTCCCCTGGAACTAGATTTAAGGACTGTTCATAACTGCCATGTGGGTGCTGGGAATCGAACCCGGGTCCTCTGCTGGAGCGGTTGGTGCCCGTAACCGCTGAGCCATCGTTCCAGCCCCTATGCTGTTTTCTTTATAAATAAAAATGGCTTTTTAATGTATACACATGAAAAATCTCATAAGGATCATTTATCGATAGGATCTTCCATTTTTCTCTGAAGAAGGAAATTCATTCTTTCTAGGGTTTGACACTACAGTGGGTAAAGGAAAATGGGGCCCAGAACTTAACCTGAGTTAATTGGTGAACTTCTTTATGGAAACCATTTGTATCTGTTCCAAGGACATTGTGAGATGATCCAGTAAACTAAATGGGAAAAAAACTAAATAAAAATTATGTTTTTTTGAGATGGGGGCTTCCTGTAGACCAGGCTGGCCTCCATCTCCTAGACATCTGCTTGCCTCTAACACACACACACACACACACACACACGTTGCCAAGTACTCTCTGTGTAGACCAGGCTGGCCTCCATCTCGTAGACATCTGCCTTCCTCTACATACACACAAACACACCGCCAAGTGCTAGGATTAAAGATATGTACCGCCATGCCCAGGGAGGCTCATGTGGATATGTATGTGAGTGCAGATGCCAGTGGAGGCAAGAAGAGGATTTCAGATCCCCTTGGAGCTGGAGTTACAGAGTTACTGGTGGTTGTGAGCTACTTTACATGAGTTCTAGAAACCAAACTCGGGTCCTCTTAAAGAGAAGCAAGTACTCTAAACTGCTGAAACATCTCTTCAGCTCCCAAATCTAGTTTTAATAGCAATTTCCAGGCCAGACATGGCTACATAATGAAAGTCTTTGTGTGTGTGTATTTTTTTTCCTTTTTGTCTTTTTTTTTTTTTTTTTTTCAGACAGGGTCTCCACACCCCAGCTGGCCTGGAGCTCACTTTGTAGACCAGGGTGGCCTCACAGAGATCTACCTGCCTCTGCCTCCCAAGTGCTGGGATTACAGGCATGCACCACCATGCCTGGCTCCTTTTTTATATTTAAAAAAAAAAGAAGGAAAGTGAGTTCAACTTGGGTAACTTAGCGAGATCCTGTCTCAAAGAAAATAAAAGCACACAAAATACAAAACCTCATTGGCTGTAGTGTAAGTTTCTGTTTACATTGAGATTTAGGGGCAAGAGAGGTGGCTCAGAGGTTAAATGTTCTGGCTGCTTTTGTAGAAGACCAGGGTTTAATTCCCAGCACCCACGTGGTGGCTAACAATCATCCTTAACTCCAGTTCCAGAGAAATCTGACCTCAGTGGGCATTGCATGACATGGGTGTTACATACATGCAGACAGTACACTCATGCACATAAAATAAAAATAGTTTTTAAAAAGTAAATCAGTAAATCAAGCCGGGTGTGGTGGCATACACCTTTAATCCCAGCACTTGGGAGGCAGAGGCAGGCAGATCTCTGTGAGTTCAAGGCCAGCCTGGTCTACATAGTGAGTTCTAGGTCGACTGGGGCTACAGGGAGACCCTGTCTCAAAAAAAAAAAAAGTAAATCGAGATTTAATTGTCTTTTTTTGATATTTTAATTATTTTTATTTTATGTGCATGAGTGTATTGCCTGCATGTATATGAGTGCACCCATGTCGTGCAGTGCCACAGAGGTCAGAAGAGGACTTTGGATTCCCCTGGAACTGGAGTTAAGAACGGTTTATAGGCACCATGTGGGTGCTGGGAATCGAACCCGGGTCCTCTGCAACAGTAGTCAGTACTCTTTATAGCTGAGCCATCTCTCCAGCCCCGAGATTTAATTATCTTAATATTTGGCTATCTTACTATTCATATTAACTTAATTTTCACTAGCCAGCATTCATTTTGTCTTTCAAGACAGTGTCTTATGGCACAGATTGGCCTGGAACTTGCTACGTAGCCAACGTTGGCCTCAAACTTGAGGCCTGCCTCAGCTTCCTGAGTGCTGGGATTACAGGTGTGTGCCAGCAGCCTGGCTTGCAGTTACTTTATATATATAATTTTATTTATTATTTTTATTTTATGTGTATGAGTGTATTACCTGCATGTATGTGAGTGCATCCGTGTCGTGCAGTACTGCAGAGGTCAGAAAAGGGCTTCGGATTCCCCTGGAACTGAAGTTAAGGATGATTCATAATAACTGCCAGGTGGGTGCTGGGAATCAAACCCGGATCCACTGCAGGAGCAGTAAGTGCTCTTAACCGCTGAGCCATCTCTCCAGACCCTGCAGTTACTTTTATAACTGTCTTCAAGAATTTGATATATGCTGCAAGACCAAGTTTTAAAATAATAATATGGGGGGCTGGAGAGATGGCTCAGTGGTTAAGAACACTGGTTGTTTTTCCAGAAGACCCAGGTTCAAATCCCATCTCCTGCATGGCAGCTAGCAACTGTTCAGAACTCCAGTCCTAGGGGATCCGACAGCCTCTTCTTACCTCCACGGGCATTGCACGACATGGGTGCACTTACCTACATGCATACACATAAAATATAAAAAATAATAAAATTTAAAAATAATCTGGGCAATTTTCTGCTTTTTTATTTAATGTGTGCTTAGTGCTTAGTTTGGCTCTCTCTCCCCCTGCTCCATAGGAAGCTGCTTTGAGACGAGAACAAAAGAAGTTGGAGAAGAAGCAAATGAAAATGAAACAAATCAAAGTGAAAGCCATGTAAAGTCATCCCAGAGATCTGAGTCCTAACACCATCTAAGCTCTGCTGCATTCCCATGACACATGAAAAGCCCAAATCCATTTCTCAAAGTTCACATTTATTCCTTATCTCACCCTCTATTCTACTTTTGGTTTGGAGTTTTACGGAGGTTGTAGGTACATTGAAAGGGCTCTGTTTCATTCACTTTCTTCCAGATTGTTTTATTCTATAAAAGGGATGGTATATAAAATATGTGCAGTTTTAAAATACTTTTTAAATTATAACATGAATCATCATTGCTTTTAGTACTTTGGTGTTTGAAGAGTAATCATGAGATTTAGGTAGGATTTTGCTTTTTATTTAAACTAGGCAATTGGAATAACTATGAAGACTGACTCTAAACCAAGATTCCACAAATAACTGTTGGAATTGCACAATAAATGTTGCTTGGTATTTTCTTCTGTGTCCATGTTAAACTTGTGAAAAAGTGAATTCTAGAACACTGTATGCAATGATGAAATTTCAGAGACTCAGAATATAATGCAGTGTATGTTTAATGTATGGGAGGTGCTGATTACAGTATTGTAGGAAATCTTTAGGTGTTAGGATACTGATAAGTACATGGAAGATTCTAGAGGTAGGTAGTACAGGCATTTTCTCCTTGCCTGATACTGTGAGCTAATGACAAGGTGAGTGCTGAATTTTAAGTGATTATATGTTTATTTTTCTTGAGTTTCAAATGCATGAAAAATTAACTGCTTCACCTAGATCAGATCAGCAGTCCGATCACTGGTCTCTGTGAGGTCACAGTGTTGTTCTTGGTTGCTGCAGCCTGTTGGATGTTTGTGGAGAAGTTCTGTGTTTTGTGTTATGGCTGTGTACCTTTGCTTCTCCCTGCTTTTATCTCGTCCACAGTTGCTGGGTATGTACTTTTTGAAACAAATAGCCATGGATATGCATAAATGCGCTTTAAAAAAATGAACTTTCTTAAACTATTCAGAGTTCTGTCTGCCTCTTGAGGTGGAAGCTCTTGGGGGAGCATTTGGCTTGTTGAGATCTCTGCATTTTATAAATGCTTCCTACTGAGAAAGCATTTTTTAAGTCACTGCTTGTACCAGGTAATTTTTGCTGGGGATGGGAAAGGGTTGGTTTTTTGTTGGGAGTGGGGTTGTGGGATTTTTGTTGATGCTGTGTTCTGAGGTAGTAACAAGGCGTCGCTGTGAATACAGTGTGTGCTGCTGCCTTTGAAACTGCAGGAGCTTTTCACATGGGTTCTATCTGGGTTAATAATAGAAATGTGTAAACTTGGAGGTGCAGGTATAAGATTTTTTTAGCACTTCACACATTTAAGTTATTGAAAATAATAAAAAGTTCAATCCCTTTAATGCTATATGATTCTAGAATCAACTTTGTTTTACAAACCTTTAAATTACATTTTAGAATCAAAATTGATATGCTTAGCTATCTTTTGCGTAATACAAGCTTTCTTAAAGTCCCACATGTTTGAACCGTGGCAGCTAATTTTGTAATTTAAGCATTCTTATGAACTACCTATGACATATATTAAACTGATTGACGAAATCTCAGAGTGCCGCCTTGCCTTTTCTGGAGTTCTAAAAGAGTATCCAAACCCAAAGGAAAGTTCTCTCTGATCATTAGAAGTTAGCATTTAAGCTGGGTGTGGTAGAGCATACCTTTAATCCCAGCACTCGGGGAGGCAGAGGCAGTTCAGAGCTCTGTGAGTTCAGTGCCAGCCTGGTCTACATAGTGAGTTCCAGGCCAGCTGGGGCTACAGGGAGACCCTGTTTCAAAAAGACAAAAAAAAAAAGAAAAAAGAAAAAGAAAAATTGAGTGGCTGGATAGATGATTCAGCAGTTAAGAGCACCGTACCCACATGCAGGCTAACCACCACCTGTAGCATCAGTTCCAGGGGATACAGCACCCTCTTCTAACCTTCTCGAGCATTGCATGACACAGATGCACTTACATGCAGACAATATACACATAAAAATAAAAACTTTGTAAAAATTTAATTGAGGGGGCTGGAGAGATGGCTCAGCGGATTAAGAACACTGACTTCTTGCAGAAGACCTGGGTTTGAATCCCAGCACCCACATGGCATCTAACAACTGTCGGTAACTCCAGTTCCAGGGGATCCGACAGTCTCTTCTGTCCTCTGCAGGCACTGCATGACACAGGTGCACTTACCTCCATGCAGGCAATACACGCATACACATAAAAATAATAAAATTTAATTGAGGGGCTGTAGAGAGCTCAGCAGTTAAGAGCACTGGCTGCTCTTGGAAAAGGTGGGTCCCAGCACTCACATTGTAGCTAACAACCTCTGTAACTCCATTTCCTGGGGCCCGACACCCTCTTCTGGTTTTCATGAACATTGCATGACACAAGTGCACTTGGCATACATGTAGGTGAAACACTCATATACATAAAAATAATAAAATATTTTAAAACAACTGAAAAAACATATCCTTTTACTTTGGGCAAGTCACTAACACCTATGACTATTGTGTTCATCCTTCTGCAAAGTGAGGATAACTGTTTCCCTACCCCCACCCCACAGGTAGTTCAAAATCAAAAGGGAATACATATAAAATTGTTTTATACTCTTAAAACCCTTTACAAAGGTAAGGTCACTACCAAATGGTACATTTTACTTTACCTCCTTGCTTTTCTTTCTCCATCAGAAACCAAGCTGATCCTTCAGATGTCTCTAAATTTTATCTGTCAGAACTGACAGAATGCTTTTTGGGGAAATGGAGAGATTGTTTATAATTCTGTTTCCTTATAAAAGGAAACCTCTCCATGCCAGGCACTAGATGTAGAACTCCTTTACGTGAAACTTGGACCAAGAAAACACTGGGCGATTTTCCCATTATAGTCTAGCAGTGTGGAAATTATTTAGAATCGTGTTACACAAGGAGGAAGAGTGAAATTTGTGATTTCTCCTCCCAGGTTTCCCTCCCCCGCCCCTTTCCTTTTTGAGACAGGGTCTCCCTGTAGCCCTAGCTGGCCTGGAACTCACAGAGATCTGCCTACCTCTGCCTCCTGAGTGCTGGGACTAAAGGTGTGTGCCTTTTAAAGCTGTTATTATTGGTGCTTTCATTTTTTGAGACAAGATCTCTGTAGCCCTAGCTGACCTGGAACTTGCTATGTAGACCAGGCTAGCCTTGCTTTAGAGAGAGGACTGTGCCACCACACCTGGCATGTTCTCCCTATTTATTTATTTATTTATTTTTGTCGTTTTGAGACAGGGTCTCCCATGCTTGCTTCGATCTTACAGAGATCTGCCTGCCTCAGAGTAGAATTAAAGGCATGTGCCACCACACCCAGCTAGATTCTTCCTTCTCTTTTCTTGGTCTTTTCGAGACAGGGTCTCCCTGTAGCTCCAGCTGACCTGGAACTCGCTATGTAGACAAGGCTGAACTTGGGCTCACAGAGATCTGCCTGCCTCTGTATCCCGAGGGCTGGAATTAAAGGCATGCATTACCATGCCCAGCAGTTCTCCCTTTTTAAAAAATATATATATATATTTATTTTTATGTGTATCCATGTATTGCCTGCATGCAGGTAAGTAAGTGTACCCGTGTCGTGCAATGCCTGTGGAGGACAGAAGAAGCTGTTGGATCCCCTGGAACTGGAGTTAGTTAGCTGCCATGTGGGTGCTGGGATTCAAACTGGGGTCTTCTGCAGGAGCAGTGTTCTTAACCACCGAGCCATCTCGCCAGCCTCTGGTTCTCCCTTCTTAACCATTCTTGCTTCTCCTTGATCTGAATGATGTGAAAAGGAGAGAGAAGAGTTATAGCCATAGGAGTGGCTTCTATTACAAACTGCAGAAACAAAAGCAAAGTGTATTCTCAGTTTCTAGTGTTGTGGTGGTCGGCAAAAGATTTGATTACAAAAGGAAGACAATGTATTACCTTTATATAAGTTTACTGTCATCTCAGCTATATAACAGAAGAATTTCAGAGGGAAAATAATATTTTCCCCAATGGTAGGACCTACTTGTTTGTTTGTTAGACAAAGTCTTCTGAAGCCTAGACTGGCCTTGTGTAGACCAAGCTGACCTGGATCTCACAGAGATCCAACCAGCTTCAGCTGGGATTAAAGGCATGTGCCACCATGCCAGATCTCCTTTTTTTTTTGTTTTGTTTTGTTTGTTTGTTTTTGTCTTTTTGAGACAGGGTCTCCCTGTAGCCCCAAGCTGTCCTGGAACTCACTTTGTAGACCAGATCCACCTGCCTCTGCCTCCCCAGTTCTGGGACTAAAGGTGTGAGCCACCACTCCAGGCTCCTTTCATATTTTAATTGTATTTACATTGCTTTCTTTTGCACTTTTTTTTTTCCTGTAGCTATATCACTTAGCCCACCTAGAACTGAAGCAAATTTTCAGTGTCAAGAAAGAGCCTTGGATTTGTGTCCCAGTGCTTTATTTTAACAATGCACAGAATTGAACCCAGAGCCTCAGGCCTGCCAGGTGGGCACTCTCCTGAGCTACACCCCCAGCCATATCCTAGTGCTTTAACAAATGTATTTCCTTCCTTTATCTTTTTTTAATTAAAATTATTTCACGTATATGAGTGTTATGCCTACATGTATGTAAATGCACCTGTGTCGTGCAATACCTGCGGAGGACAAGAGAATGTTGGATTCCCCTGGAACTGGAGTAATGGACGGGCGGTTGTTAGCTGCTGTGTGGGTGCTAGGATTTGAACCCAGTTCTTCTGCAAGAATAGTGTTCTTCACTGCTGAGCCATCGATCTAGCCCCTCCTTTATCTTCTGTACCTTTCTAAAATGGCTGTTTGGAAACTCATTTCAGATAGGAAAATGAGTATTTTGAGGTTTAAAATGCTTTACAGATTTAAATAATTCTATTAACTTGTTTTACATACTACATTTCCCTATTTCACTTGTGTTAGATTTTTGGAAAATGAAAGAGGAGTAGGAGACAAGAAAACAGCCAGACCTGCAACAGGCAAGGAATGAATATATATAATCTAATCTTCCTTTATTCAAAGAAGATACAGTGACAGATAGACTGGGCTTCTACAACCAGACAAAGAAAACAGATGAATTAGTGCTTGGGTTTGGTGTTCTTGAGAGTCTCTTTTTCTCAGATGAGTGAATTATCTATGACCTAAAGAAGACAGATGGACTCCACAGTCACTCTCAGTCCCTGGAGTGACCAATTGTTAAGGCTTGAGCAAGGCCAGGCTGCCAATTTAGAGCCAGTTAGACACTTTAAGGGATTTATGGCTTTCCCTAATGAGGCTTGTGGCTCTTCTGCAATTCACATATTCTATCATTCCAGACCCTGGGGGCATATTAAAAAAAAAAAAGGAGAGGGTAGGGAGTAGGATGGAAAGAGGAGCACATTGCTTTGGGGGAAATAAGATAAAGGCACAGTGAAGAAAAACCGGATCAAGTCCTGGGTATGGGACATAAAGCTTCCTTGAAGTCAGTCTTTGTGTCAGTAAGGGAATCCCAATGGTGACTGGGTCCAGGCATTAATCAGAGGTTACTTTGAAGATCCCTCAGCAGATTGAAGAGAGGATTAGGTCAGTGAAGGTGACACAGCCTCTGCAGAGGGCCAGCAAGCTGTTAGTCTCAGGGAACTTTTGGTTTTTGAGAAGTTCTCAGGTGTCATGGAGCAGGAGTATAGTCTTAACTTGGTCTCAGGTAGAGGTTTGGGCAGTCAGTCATACAGGCTGCTCAGGAGATTCTGTAAGAATTTTTGGAGACAATAGTTAAGCATAGTGTAAGGAAGGGATGGGAAGATGAGCTGGCCAGTCTGGGAATAAACTTGTCATTGTTCCTTTGGGATCTCTACCCTAACTCCTCCTGGAGAGCTAACCCTAGTTGCCAATAGGAAATTTGGACATTGAGTCATTCTGGCTTCTTCCATGCTGAACGGGGTGAAGAGTATAGCAACAGGTACCTCTTCACTGGGTCTATCTTTAAAAAAAAAAAAACCAAAGTATATAACTGTTTGTCCTTGACTGGTGTCTGGGAGGAGTTATGAAGGAGAAGTAAAACAAGAGTAGTTAGGCACATATTTTAGGTGGGGAACCAGGAGAAATAAATGTCCACATTAAAGTTCATTAGAGTTTCTTGATGGAGGCTTCCAAGAGCATCCATTCACTGGGCCATTTTCTTTATCGGGGTGTCATAGCTAGACTCAGGATTTGTTTTTTAGGCGCTTTGATAGCTGTTGGAATGGCTAGAATCACATTGTGAGCTTCCTTCCAGATGGCTTCTATAGGTAGGGAGAGAGAAGAAATTTAGTTATTTAATTTTGATGATAACAGTAGTGGACCTGTCCCCCTTGGCTGCAGGTGGCACAAATTTTTAGTGGGAATTTGTAAACAATATTTTATATGAACTTTTAAGTTTAGTATTTGGGAAGTATAATTTTATGAACTTTAAAAGAAATATACTGATTAATTTTTGGTTATACTTTCCTTTGGGTGTTTTAAGCCCAAATTAAAACAAGTTTTTGTTTTATTGTGAAGGTTGGTTGAGGCGGTGGTCCTCAGGAATCACTTGGGCTTTGGGCTGGCTCC